ATGTTCAATACACATTGAGCTTTGTGCCAAATGTTACGTGACTATTTCTATTGATGCCAAGTCCTAATATCAATGTTTTCACCTATCATCAAGCCCAGCAGGTTTTGATTCTTATCTACTGGGCTGCCCGAGTTACCCTGAGTCCATTCATGGATGTATGAACTGGCCTTGATTAGTACCCTCACCCAAGCAAAGAGGGTCTGATTAACAGACGACCTTGAGTTAAAACAACACAGGAGGCTGTGTTGATAAGCTCAGCTACTGCAAGGCTAAATACAAAATGTGCACTTTGAAGATGTTCCTCTGACACTACTGCTGCTTCTACTATGTAAATCAGAGAAATGTGACAGTCATATCACAGAATATGTGCCTGCATGTATTTGATTGGCTGATACTGCGCCTTGCTTGATAATGTCCCATTGCGGCAGTGGGTTTGAGGTCTACACAGAGCCAAAATTAGTCTGAACAATACCTTAAGCTCGACATTTCATTTCATTTCAATACAGTGGGCCTTCTTGGTATTGTGAGAATGCATGTACATATTTGTTGAGACAATAAGTATTTTTGATCAGACGTCAATATTCTCTTCCTGTGCCAAAACAAAAGTTTGGGAATAACTTTAGCACACAGATAAAGAAATGAAAAAGTGTATCACATACTCTGTTGAAAAGATGGTGCTCCAGCAAGCAGCTGATAGGACACATTGAGAGGCAGGTAATCTCCCTGATCAACCCAGGACTCCTTTGTGACCAACCTCTCTGCCTGCCAAGATAATTCATTTGGAGTGTGTTCGCTTGACCTTGCCGGGCCCTGCAAAACAAACATGTCACAGTAAGTCTGAATATGCTACGTGAATAGGTCTCATACTCTCTCTTGTAAAGCCCCACTTTCAGGTTTGTTTCAACTTTGCAAGCAGCAGAAATCAATATATCATGGGCTGAAATATAAACATTAATATAAATGTAATCCTGTGTGTGGTTGAGAGAGAGAGACCATGAATTTCAGAATAAAGACAGTTACCATGTATGTATGTGTGTGTGTGTGTACTTACTGCTACGAGGACGCTTGAGTGGCTAATGAAGTACAATCCCCCAGCTAATAGGAGCACTGCTAAAACAGCGTTCTTCCTCAAATGACATCGCATTTCCTATCACACACACACACACACGCGCACACACACACACACACCATCCATTAGCACAACAATAAATGACCAACTGTTGATATTATACAGTGCAGACTGTGTTAGGTCCATGTGTCTACTCATTTCAATTGCAAATGTGAAATTTGGTTTTCTCAATTTGTAGTTGAATTAATGGCTCTGTTGCCAGATCTGAAACATAGAGGTAGGAGGTGAATGCTCGGCTCTGTTTACATGCACTGAAAGGTCAGGGTTTCAATATAGTCCAGGAGTCGTGTTAAAACAAGACACTCTAGTGTCCTCTCTGGTGTGAGGACACTAGGCAAGGTCTAAATATAGAGCAGTCTATGATTACCATAGGCCTATATTCTCTACCGTACCCCTGTACCACGTTTGGTGGTCCCCTTTGGTGTCCCCTCCTGGAATTGCTCTTGAAAAATGTCTCTGTTTATCGTCCCCCCCAACAGTAAAATGAAAGACCCACCCCTGTGTGTCTGTGTTGAAGAGCGAGATGTTTTATTTAAAGGAAGAAACCTGAGCATAATAAAGCTGCCACATGACAAGTGTAGCTAGTGCCACAGGAACCTTGTAAAAAAGTATTTTAAAAGTGATGTTAGACAAAAACTGTCTAAATAAAAGAAACCTTACTGCAGCTATTGTTGTGGAAGATAACGTCAGAAGAAGACTGCCTCAATAAGAGTAACGTTATTGTAGCTGTTGTAAAATATAACATTATCAAGAAAAGTAACGTTACTGTTGTTGTAAAATATAACATTATCAATAAAGGTAGCGTTACTGTGACTATTGCTGTAGATGCTAACGTTATTAATATGAGTAGCGTTACTGTAATTTTTGTAAAATGTAACATTAATAATAACAGTAACGTTAACGTTGCCATTGTGGATACAAGTACTGTTACTGTAGCTTTTGTTGTGAAAGATACAATATGAAGAGTGACGTTACTGAAGCCTCTGATGTGGCTAAAAGTAACGTTACCGTGACTACTGTTGTGAAATATGACATTATCAATACAAGTAACGTTACCGTGACTATAGTGAGCTAACGTTAAGTTACCTTAACTGATTAAAAGTTCCAGCGATTGAATGGAAGCGCAGGTTCCGTCGCTACAACTTTGGACGTAACTCAAGATGATTCAACAGCTACGGATGTGCGCACTTACACGAACCTCGAGGTACAAAGTTTATCGTTCAGAAAGAATGAAGTGAGCGTGTGGACGATGACGTGAGTCCGAGAGGTTAGTCTGTGTTAACCTCCAGGCACACTCACCTCCCTCCGCCACCACCGCCGGCACGCTCCTGGCTTTACAAGCGGAATAACAAATCACTTCAGATGAGGAACAGGGGCCAGCTACAGATAGCATCACCTCATCCTCCTCCTCGTTCCAGAGCCTCCTGAGTCTGCTGCCTGACCGCGAACACACCACGCTGTCAGGGCGTGTGTGAGGACCAGACCCCCCCCGCCCCCCCGCTGTGTCGTCACCGTCAGACCACACCCACATACAGTCGCTTAGAGGCAGGTGTAGAGCTTCGTGTTTTCAACCACGTGGTTATAAAGGCATTTACCTAAGCTGGTACATCGTGTAGAGAAGATTCAGAGCCCATCAAAAACTTACAATATCTATAGAGCCTTTCAGTTCCAGGGCCCCCTGCCAATTGTGCAGCTGTGAATGAGTGAAGTATAGAGACCACCCCCCCCCCCCACTTTATCTACTTTGTGACATGTTTGTAGATAAACATTATCTCTCAGTCCCAAAAGGAGAGACTGCTGATTTTGTCAAGCACTGACCTCCATTGTGCCCCCATCATGCCGAACAGGACCTGAACTGCATTTTAAATCTGCTTACTGTAGTTTGACTGTGAAAATACAGCAAACTGGGGAGATTAATGTTCTGCAGCTCCACCCAATGCTCTTGTTGCTCATTTAAAGAGTCCACTCTCGCATGAATTCAAGCTCAGCTCAGCCAATATGTTTCTATGTGCAAGCTTGGAAGAGAAGTGGAAATTTCCTCTCCACACGTATTTTATGTCTTTTGCCTATGTATGATGTATGTGTGTGACTTCCAATAATAATAATGGGAAGGCAAAAGGCCACAGTTAAAGTTTAGTTAAAGGTTCAGTGTGTAGGATTTAGTGACATCTAATGGTGAAGTTGCATGTTGCAGCTGAATACCCCTGACCTCACCCTCTCCTTCCAAACATGTGAGAGAACCTGTGGTAATCTCAGCTGTCATAAAAACTCAAAAAGTGTTAAGTTTGTCTGGTTTGTACAACTGTAAAAAAACATGGTGGCCTCCATAGAGCGGACCTGCTCCCGATGTAACTTAAAAGTATTTATAGATAAATGGCTCATTCTAGTTTAAACAAAACAACAATTTATACAATTTTGATGATAACACACAAGTGAAAACATCCCTAGGATTGTTTTATATTCAATTTCTGCCAATAGATTCCTTTCACCTAAACTCTACACACTGAACCTTTAAGGTCAGTACAAATCTCTTGAGCACCACAATGATCTTTGTGACAAGTGTGTAGGTGAAGCATGAGAAGGAAGATACAGTCACATATTTACAGTCTTCAATTGCTCAATCATTCAGTTGTGCAGACAGTACCTCTTCTTCATTTATTCTTAGGGTGGTATGTTAGCATGTTTGAAAGGATGCACAAGAGTGATGATTGTGTGTGTGTGTGTGTGTGTGTGTGTGTGTGTGTGTGTGTGTGAGATGTGTATCTAAGCTCTCTCCGAGGACAGTGTTTGTAGTACAGTGGTAAGGATGGAGAGGAACCCCCTCAGAGCTTTTTCATCTCTCGGTTGCTGTTTAAGAGTCACTTTAACTGCGTCCTGTCCTCTGTCTGTTCTTGTAGTCTCTATCCCGATCAACCCATCAGCCGTGGCTTCCTCTCCCTCTTTCATTTGCTCATCTTCCCTGTCTTCCACCACCACATCACCATCACCCTTTCCAGCTTTCTGAATTCCCTCTCCAGTGTACAGCAGCTCTCCCAGGATGAGCGTGCTGTTGGGGGTGTCAGCAGAGCATGCCTGCTGGGTGTGTGTGTAGAGGTAGACCCTCCAGGGGAGAGAGTCTGGCGGCGTGAAGGCCAGTGTCTGGATATTAACCAGCTGCATTGCAGCCTGAAGACTCTGCGGGGAACAGTGGAGTAACTCAGGACATCGGACGAGTACTTCCATGCACACGCAATCCTCCACTTTTATCTTCTCAGGACCTAGACACAACAAAACAAGGAGCAATTACCAGAGGCTGTTTAATGTCAAGAAACACTGAATATTCACTGGGGTGCAACTTCATGAAGGGTGGGTCTACAAATATAAAACACAAAATAAATTAATAATTAAGAAAATATCTAATCATTTTTTTTTTTACACTTAAAATATATAAGTAAAATAGAGAATTTGTCAAATAAAATGTAAGTGTTACTTCAACCATCTTATTTAGATAATAATAATAATAGCTTAATTCAATTCATTATTTTTAATAATAAAATGTTAAGTTTTTGACCTCCTTTCAAAAGTCACCTCGCTTTTTGTGTTGTTTTATGTGTTGGTGACAGCAGTGTTGTCTTGTCACAGACATCTTTGTGACAAATGGGACACTGCTAACAGAGTTAGCCAGTTAGAAAAAATTTCAAAACTAATTCTGAACTATCCAACTGCAGCAGTAAACAAATGTACAAAGAAAAAGAACATTTTCAATTCATTTAGCGCCTCAAGGCTGCACATGCTACTTTGTTAGCTGGCTTATAACTAGGTGGGCTTGTGAAGTTTGTTTATTACCCAACATCACAGTGACGCAGTGATATGCAGCAAGACCAAACAAGGTAAGCAGTACTAAGCAGCCAAAGTTAAAAATAGACATAAGCTGGTTGACATGCTGGTGTGATATATCTCTTTACATCTTTATTTCACCATATCAGACTGACACATGGGAGCTGACCTTTGTCATGGCAACATTCATACAATCACTTCCTCTTAATCAATTTGTCTACAAGATTTGTTTTGCTGAAGTTAGAAAAACTGTCCTACCTGGTTAATCTTCAGTTAAGATTTTATGTTCGATATTTTTCATACATTTTTAGAATATAGGAGAAGATGGTAAATATCTCTTGCCCCTTTGAAGGTCTTCTGCACAATGTAGGCCACCAACTACCAGTAGATGTTAGCAGGTGTTAGCGGCCACCAGCAGATGTTAGGGACATAACTTCAGTTGTGCACTTTAGCATCATCAAGTGTTCTGGCCTTGTAATCAAAGATACAGGCCGAACTTGAGGGTACGCTGAGGCTAAAGGTAAAAATGGCTACTGGCTTGTATGGCAGTACTATGAAAGCCTTGTGGCCCGCACAGTAGATCAGATTTATTACATCTATGCCTTTTAAACTAAACACCTTCCCATTTTAGAACAAAGGACAAGATGGAGAATATCCCTTGTATTTTCTTACCACACTAATTAATGGCTAATACCAGTTGATGTAATCAGATGTTAGTGACCACCAGCAGATTCAACCTATAATAAAGCATCATATTTACATATATACCACCCGGGAGGGTCAATGGGAAGAATTTGTACGATGTGTGGGGATAGCATTAACCTCCTTCCATTTAATTACCTTGCTCAGCATGCAAAACCTGCTGCTGCAGCCACTGCCCCTCAAACTCCTCTGGGCTGAGAGTCGGGGAGAGGGACAAACTGAATGGGACGGCAAGGCTGGAAGCCAGATCATCAGCAGAGGAATCCACAAGCTCAATGGCACTGTCTGAGCCTGGAGAGGACACGGGAGGACAAAGAGGAAGGAAGGGAAGACGATTTGGAGGGAAGAAGTGGAAAGAAAGGGGGAGGATAAATGTAAACAACAGGGAGCCAAATGGTGGACAGAAGACAGAGATTGAGGATGAGGGTTAAAGTGGTAGTTGGGATAAGTGCCAGAGGAAGACATTTGTGATTAAAAATGGCACTGCATTCCCAGAAATGGACAGTAATCTTGTAAAACCAAAACTCTCTCAGACTTTGACCAAAATAGAGTTCAGTATGCAAGCTGCAACCAATTGGACCTATTTAAAGTGGTGTAAAGATATTCTCAGAGCTTCCCCAGTTGTACCACTGCAGTGGCTTCATAAAGTCTCCACAGCTGCACGTAACCTCATATTATAAATAAAGTTATTGTATTAAAAAAATATATATTTATATTCCAGTTATTTGACATATTGATAAAAACTGGAACAGATAATGATGATGATAATCCAAAATTGAAGCCAAAAGCCTTCCCCCGACTTCTCTAATGTCACCACTAGATAAAATATGTAATTTATCCAGGGAAATATCTTAACAATAGTTAGATGGAAGGCCGTGACATTTGGTAAGAGCATTCATGTCTAGGTTCAATACTAAGCACTGTTCATCTTCAAACTAAACAGAGATATGACTCATCAAGAGACATTCAGGTCTAACTTGAGTTCAGTGTAAAAACAAAAGCAGATTTGTATCCATCCAGAACCATCCCGGAAACATGAATGTGTTTGGAATAACAACAATCTCCTGCAGGTGGATTAGTCAGTTTCTGTGAGGCACTTAAAGTGCCACCCTGACACTGAGAAATGTGAGAGACTCAAACACTGGAAGGCCTAGAGGAGACTGTATGGTTCATTATCTGCTTCAAAGTTTGATAAGAGTTACAGAATTACAGGATGCTTGTGACATACATACAAATATAAACAGCATATATAGCCATTGTCTCCCAGTGGCAGAAAAAGTATTTCCATCTTTTATGTAATTTGAGATCCTTGAGAGACTTTCAAGGCAGAATGGCTCCCAAAGGCATCATGACCACTTCCCATGCTACAAGAGCAGCACAATCTAAATTCAACTACAAGTTTATAACACAGTTAGAGGGAAGGAGGAGGAAAGGATCATGGAAACACTCAGTATATTGCAGTCCAGTATAACACTGACACTAACAATGACTTCCATGCAAAAACATATAGAATTAACAGCTAACTTTAATTAAATTTGGACTTGTTGACCTGTGGAAGTATGGTTTCCACAGTAGCAAGGTGATTTCCACAGATGGAAAATAAATTGCTGCTGGTCAGACTGATTAAATGTCGAACAGGCTTACAATAGCTCACAACCGAACCACCACGCCTAAATAAGCGCACAGCAATTTAATCATTAACATGTGTGGTTTACTTGGAAACAAATCCATTCTTCACTGATTCTGAATGAAGCAGGTGATGACATGATCACACAGAGTTGTTGGCTTTAAAATCCAGCTGCATGTCCTGGACTGGACAACGCCCACCACCCTCTGCACAACACCTTCATCAGGCAGAGGAGTGTGTTCAGTGGCAGACTGCTGTCTCAATCCTGCTCCACAAACAGACTCTTTCCACCCCCTGGCCATCAGATTGTACAACAGCTGTCAGTGATGGCAGGAGGCACAATAGACAATGGAC